GATTATCATTGGTTTCCTGGGACTAATTCAGAGTGCCAGTTATTAATTACAAAGCCTTTTATAATGTGGCACCAGAATATATCATAGTCTGTCTTACTAACATGACTGTGCTTGTCGTGCTTGATCCTATATAGTGTCTTCTTAAGATTCCTTCCATTCAAGGTGGCTTCTCAGTCATAGTCCCCAAATTATGTAACAAGCTCCTGTGCTGGTACATTTTGTATAGATCCAAATGCCATTTTGTTACAGCAGACTTTGTTGTAGGTGACGATGCTACACAAATTATAGTATATGGCATATTAATGCTTTTTATACTTTCCAGAGTTGCTGGTATAATTGCTTATAAGAAATAAATAAGTAACCAGTCAACATTAATAGAAATTTCTCCAGACATAGGTATCAAATTTTTAGTGTTTTTTTTAAACTTCATGTTTAAATTGCAATTGATTTCAAATTCAATGGCTTTAAAATTCCATGGAAACATTGAGTATTCAGAAAGAATACCCTGAAATATTCCGGTCTTCATTCAGCACCATAATTATAAGTCCTATCACTGAGGAAGGAGAAGAACCAAGTCATAGTACAGTTTTGCCTGCTGGGAAGTTTCCATGGGACTTTTGTGACAGAAAAAAAAATAGCTAATGACTATTACGGAAATGAAAATGGAAATTAAAAAAACTGAAGGAAAAGAGAAGGAAACAATGAAAAGATTTCATTTGGTACGTAGAGCCATGAGCTATGGTAGACAGCTTTATAAGTAGAATATACAGAAGTATTTGTTCCTAAGTCATCAGGTAGGTGTTTTATTGGAGATCCAGAATAATTACAGGAATAATATTTAGCTCTTCATTTTAACCAAGAACAGTGACTGCACAAATCATAACATTATGTGTTGTAATCTATCATAACTATCTTCACTATTCTAAAAGCAAAACATTGTTTGTGGAAGACTTACAAGTATAGGAGACTGGCTGTCTACCTTCTGGCTTATTGTATGATAGCTATTACTAGTCCAACAGTATTTTAAATATTGCAAGCAATTCACCACTCTCACTTTGTGGTAACCTGATCTCATATAATATTGGATACATCTATGACAATCAATTGTCTTATGTATATGTAACAGCACTGGGATGAAGCTGAATTTCTCAAGAATTCTATAAAGCAAACTTCTACAGACTAGATACTGAACTTTAAAAATAAAATGAAATATGTTTATTTATTTATAAAATGAATATTGTTTATTTATTTATACAACTTACACAATAAGTCAGAATGCTTTAGTATTCTATCTTAGCAAACTTGAGTAAACTTATCATTTCCAATTTAACTTCTGCTAGTTCCAGTATTAAGGGAAGCTTGAAAGGCTATCTTCCAGGATTTTTTTGGTCATACATTCATAACTGGATTACAGGATGGTTCCTCTTATAAACATTCAGGGTCGTAAATCAAAAGAAAAGATGGCTTGTTTATAATAACACTGCTGTATTTGTAATGACAAACAAACCACAGACAGAGAGTTTGTTTAGCAACTTCCACCCAAAGGATAAGCCAAGAATGAACACTGTTGGCAGTCCCTGACATACTTGTTTGATCACAAGACTTGCAATTAACCCTTTCAAGTGTTTGTTGCAGGAAATGCTGGTGTGCATATGCATACAGCAATTCTATTTGCCATAAAGAAGGCACAGAAAGGTGTATGGCAAGTATACCTGTGTGCCCCCTAGGCCCAGGCAGAACCTGATTTTCTATAGAGATTTTGAACTACAAGCTAATCAGTTACAGCCCGCAAAATAAGATTTTCCTTACACTGAGTTGCTAACCAAAAGCCAACAGTCTAGAAATGAAAAGTAGAAAATATTATAAATTTATAGAGTGTATGCATATTATGGACTCTCAGTCCTCCTTCCTACTAAAAACAACCAGTTTGTAAAAAGAACATGTGTGTTATCAATGGGCTTTGAATTGTATTCCTCTGACTATCTTCTTTAAATTATCCATTTGGTTTGGGGATTGGTGCTTGTTCTAAAATCCAAACTACTTTGAAGAAGCTGACTTGTGCTGAGCAGACCTGTGATCCATCTATCCCAATGTTTTTAAAACAGGTTATATTCATAATATCAGCACGGTGATTAACCCAATTGCCTAGTTTTATAAAATACAAAGAATCGTAAACAAACTGCACTAGATTTGCAAACCTAGCTAGCCACAAACTAATTGATCACATTTCATCCAATCTGTTGTGTATACCCAGCCACTAAATAGAAGCAACTTTCCAAGTTTCCAACTGAAACCTTTCCTAGTTCTCCATGGAGCTGCTGAAAATTGAAATTGGAACCTTTGACGAGCAAAGCAGATGTTCAACACTGAGATAACAGTCTGTGAAGGGCAGAAGGAAACACGCTTGCCAAGTAAACAGCTTTAGATAAGGAGAAATGGGTAACTCAGCTGGAGTCAGTCAGGATGATGGTGACAAGAGTAAACATTTTGTCAAAATAAGCATTAATTAATGTCTATTGAAGATATACTAGAATGCAGCAATAATAATTGGTAGAAGATATGTAGATGTATACCTATTGGGAAACTAAAAGTAGTAAGAATGGGAATTCCAGAAGAGCAATTTTCAACACTTGCCCAGGAAATTTGCTGCCCCTGTTTTAAAAAATGGGTATTAATGAATTAATACCTTAGGAATGACATAGGGCTTTACTTCTTACGCAGCATAAATACTGGATTGCACTGAAGCTCTTCTTTGTCTAGAAGCTACTAGTTATTCCTGCTTTTCCTGAAGACAAAGTAGTTTGAGACAAGCTTTCGTGAGCCTTTGTGTTTCTACATGCTTCTTTCATTCTCTCTCCAACCCCCCTGGTATAACTTGTTTTTACCCTTGAGTTAAAATAAAAAGTTAATCTTTTAATGAGCTTCAAATCCACATGTATTCACTACAGTGAGTCAAAGTAAGTCATACTGCATCCAACATAAGTTATCATCCTGCATCTAATACCTAATAAAACAAGAGAAATATGGTCTCAATTGTTATGTGTACCAGTAGTTAATGATAAGCTGTTGAAATTAATAAAGTTCTAGGGACATTATGTAGAGACAGATGAAACCACTCTTAATGAAGTAACCTGCATTAACATATACTTCTTTACACAGCAAATTAAGAAAGAAATAAAGGAGAATAATATTATTGTTGTTGTTATTATTATATATTATTGTTGAACCACTGAAACTCTCAGGTACACATCAGCTTCCTTTGTGCATAAGTAATTAAAAGGATATATGCATGTTAAATCACAGCAATGCAACAATAATAAAACGATGAAGGGAGGGCCAAAAGAAACTATACCCAGTAATTAAAAGGATATATGCATGTTAAATCACAGCAATGCAGCAATAATAAAATAATGAAGGGAGGGCCAAAAGAAACTATACCCAGTAATTAAAAGGATATATGCATGTTAAATCACAGCAATGCAGCAATAATAAAATAATGAAAGGAGGGCCAAAAGAAACTATACCCTTATCAGTTGCATCCTTTAGTTTTAATACTTCAGTAGTCACTTCCAAATTGGATATCTTTTATAGCTGCAAACTACTTATTCAATCTTGTTTGGCAGCACAATTTTCTATGGTTCATTTTAGAGTCTTATCCTCAACAATTCTAAATGGGAGGCATAGTAGAATGCCATTCATTAAGTGATATTGTGCCCCATCACATGTATTTATCCAGTGTCATTTCTATGCTGATTTACATGCAGACATACCTTTAATTCTTCTAACAAAAAAAAAAGTCTGGTTAATTTCTGGTTAATTTCTAATTTGCTAATTGAACCCTACCAGCACCAACAGAGTTGCTAAATTTCTATCTAAAGCAATTTTGATAAAAAGGCATAAAATGGAGTGCGGACATTAAGTTTTTTTCCTTCTTATCTTTTATATACCTTTACTTAATTTCAATTTTATTTAATTTTTTAATATTGTTCCATTGTATCTTGTCCAATTTTTCATTTTTCCCATTTTCTTAAATCTTCCATTTCGGATTTTATATAACCAATGCACTGCTTTGTTCAAAATATAGTCGTATTTTCACCTTGCTGATCACTGATCATAAATAAATTTAATTTGATTCAGTTTTAATGTGTGTGGGGGGGGGGTTGCCACCGGAAGACATTTCCAATTACCTTTGATATCTGCTTGGAATCAGTTGAACTATTGCATGGATTCTATCCCACAATGGGAATTTGATGTGGTTAATTTCCAGAAAACCTGCTAATATGAATTCACATTATTGACCCAGATGCTTTCCAGGCCTTTTTCTCTCCAGTTTGGCATTGTTTTAGACAAGGCTTTCCAGTTACTTTAAAGTGCAATTTCAATCATCATCATTTGCCATACAGTCATCAGTTGGGAGACCTGCAACATCTAGAAAGCAAAAGTTGGTATCTACCTTCTTTAGTTTAATCTACAATTATAATGTCCTATTATTTCTCTCTGATCTGACATGTTTTTGGAATTCACATGATTGTTTCAAACTTATAAAATTACAGTATATACACTATTTTAAACATAGACTATAGATTTAAACACTTTTCCATTTTAAAATACTACTTTGAATATCATGAAAAGTGCATTTGATGTGTACTTTTTTGCTGTAGAGATGTTTCACTGAACTAATAACCATAATCTCAAAATGTTTCTCCTGACTACTAACTACATAAAATCCTGTAAATGGGTTGTAAACATAGCTTTCTTTTTGCACACTGAATCAGCCCCAAGCCAAGCTTAAAAATCACCATCCCAACTAAATAAAAAGATATGGTAGATCTGGTTTTATATTCTGCTCTATATTCCAATTTATACAGCAATTTAGGAATTAGCATTGCATCAAACAACCTGCCTAAAATTTAATCTCTACCTGAAGCAGAATTTTCCATTTTTTCCTAGTGATTTTAATGCTATCAGTCAGAATACTTAAATAGTCACTAAGGTATTACCTGGAAGAAATGGGATGATTCTCTGTTTGGGATCTTTTTGGCCTCCTTCAACAGGGAATTTATCCAAAAGTTGCATCTGCAAAAGAAATATTTACTATGAACTATAATTTACCATACACTTTCCCAAAACCCAGATTCAGCATGACCTCTTTCTTGATTATAATACATTTAGAGAATCAGCTGTAACAATAATTTTTTTTTAAAAATGTAATTTATGGACAGAATCCATGTTCCCAAGAATCAAGGTGAATTATATCAGAGCTGGCATAGAATTAAAGTCTGGCACTCCAACAATTCCTATATTGGACATTTTCTACTTCATGGAATAACAATCCAGCTTGGTTCACCCACAATTTAAGACAGACCACCTACCTACTAAAAACTACAGCCTCAGAACCACCAGAGAATTTCAATGAAGCATCAAATACAGTTGTTGGCAGACTCATCCCCCATAAAAGACAGTGCCTCTCCATGTATCTTGAGAGACATATATGAAGCAGAAAAGTTTCTTAGGGATCTGGAAATACTGACTCACTGAAACTGCTGAACTTTGTTAGAACAAAATGTGTTCTTATAAAGTTGAAGGTTGTATCACCCTTTCTGAAAGATTCTCCCTTTCCTGCTGACCACACATTTTCTGCATGCTTAACTCAGTGTGTGGTCATAGCAAATGACATACAGCACATTCATAATATATAGGCCAAATGTTTGGCCAAATATATATTTGGCCAAACATTTAGTCACAGGATAGATAAATGTTTAATCTATACAACTATTAAAGTTAAGCAACACCCCAAAATAAGAAAAAAGAAAAAGAAAATCCTCTCAAATTAAATTTTCAATAACTTGCTTTTTACTGAAGCATCACAATAAAGCTAATACTGAAACAAAATTGCTAGAAACGTAGTGCAGAGTTCCATGACATTTTTGGTTTTGGGGACTGCCGGGGGTGGGGAGGAGGGGATGGTTCTGTGTGTGCACAACTGCATTTGTGAAATGGGTCCACTCACAGAAATGAGCGTGTGTGCACGCTCTCACCCACTGCATGTGTGAGTGGGATGTGCATGCATACATGTGTGTATGCCACTTCCGCAGCCTGGTTTCAAAAGACTCAAGGCCCGGTAGAGGGCTGTGACCCAAAGATTGAGGATCCCTGATCTAGTGCATACATGTATGATCACATTTATGTACATAATACATTTTAAATTGTGGATATATAAGAAAGCCCAGGTGGTAAAATCTAGAAATTGAAATGGGTTTAGGATGCTATGGCCATATTCATGTGAAGATTTTGAAGCAGTTTTAAAACAGCTTTTCTGAAGTCTTCTTCATTCCCCAAATGCAGAGATGAGCACATTTATTATCATTTCAGCTATGGTGTACTTGGGTTACAAAGTTTTAGTGAGTGTGGAAAGGTGGGATAAAACTCAACAACAAAATTAATCTGCATTATAGCCTCTACATGTAGAGTGAGGAAAGACAAATCCCTTGACTTAACTTGTTCATTTTCAAAACGGTTCGCCTATGCCCATACACCAATGGAAAAAATCAAAGCAGGAACAGTGAAGACATGATTAGAGAAGCTTTACTTTGTATCAGTATCTTATATCTTATGCACTTGTACCTGAAGTATTATTGATTGCATAACCATTGATCGCAAAATGCATAACGTAACCATTGGTCCAAGTTCATACAACATGCCAGACAATGATAATGCTAGGTAGCCCATAGCAAGATTTGATTACAAACATTTTGATTTATAGCATAGTTGAATGACATATTAAGTTAAACTCGCATTGAATGTACAAAACATCTTGAACTTCTCTATGGCAACACAATATATTGAATTATAAATTAAATGCGCTAGGTTCACATAACATGCTAACCCACAAAAAAACTAATTAAGATTAAAAGTAACTGAGCTCAGCATATTGTGTGAACACAGCTAATATTTCTTTCTGATCTAGTTAGAGGCACTATATGAATCTAGCCCATGGCTTAGTATGTCAGTTGAATTAATTTATAGTGGCCTCTCCCAGCAATCCAATTAATGCCCGATTATCTGACCTGAAAGCATCTATTAACCCAAACTGCAAAGTTTCCATTTACATGGACTAATGGAAGTGACTTCAAATACATTCCAGTAATAAAAAAAGATTTATCCTCTCATTCTTGTTTGCATAATCTAGCTGGCTAGGGAAAGTTAGTTTAGCTCCAAAGAAGTACAGAGCTATTTGAGCTAAAACTAACTTCCTTAACTTCGGTAGCTACGGGTCTTAACTCTTCACACAACATTTAGTCTTCCTTCTTAACCTACACATATTATGTATACAACCAATAACTGAAGATTTGGCTCTGACAAAACTAAAAATAGTCAGTACCTTGGAGAGCTCAGTGCAGGAAGCCACAAGTTTAGAACTTTCATTAGTAGAACTGTTGTCTAGGCCTTATCTTGGACAATTGAGGGCTTAAGAAGGCTTAGGTCCACCATGCTTATTGCTGTCTTTAGACTTAAGTCCTTTCTGAAGTCTCAATTTCCTGCAAGACTGCAAAATTACAGAAGCTGTAGAGATAATCTTCTGAGGCTAAATTATCACTTAATTGGAGGGTGTCTTTATTTTTAAATCCTAGGCCAGGAAGGCTAAAAAGGGAAGGGTCATAGCTTCCTTTGTGCTAGTGTAACTTGAAATTAATCATTGCTGAGCTCCTAACCACAGGGACATAACATAATGTTTCTTTTCTTTCAATGGATGGAAAATTGTCATGGATCTGTATTTTTATGCTTTGGTTTCCTATAGACAGTAAAGACTGTCTCAGGTCAATCAGTCCTAACACTACTTTAGTTCAAAAAAGAACAAAACTATACCTTCAGCCCTGTGTTTTGCTGTCACTACATTTTCTTTTCTTTCTTTTTTTTAAGGTTTTTATTATTTTTTTATAACATAAACATAAAACACATTTTTTCAAAACAAAGCTTTTGATCTGGTCACAAATTAATACAAATCACTAACAAATCTTAATTTTCAATTAACACAACTTAATATTTTACTCAGTTATTTCCCTCAATTTTATCTATTTAACTATGCCATTATCCGCAAAAACCCGTTACTTAAATCTTAAATCCTAATCAATTGTAATTCCATTTTCTCTTTCATTTGCTTAAATGGATATATTTTAACAATATAGATCATCACAATTATTATAAACATTCATAAAGTAATTAATTCCAACATAATCATTTTATTTTTACTAATGAACTCAACATTTATAGTCTTTATTTCTGTTATTAAACCTAACTAATTCATTTAATTTTAACTATTAATCTCAACATACTCCTTATTTGGCTATCCCACCTCATTTTATTTTGCTATAAAATCCAACATCTTTATCTTCATCTTTGTTGTTAAACCAACAAAGTTTTATTTCCTGGCTGTTAAATACAGCATAACCATTTTATTTTTGGCTGTTAAACACAGCATACTCATTTTTGCCTTTTGGCCGTTACACAGCATATCCATTTTTATTTTGGCTGTTATACAGCATAACCATTTTTGTTTGGCTTTTGAGACACAGCATGCTCATTTTGTTTTTTGGCCACTACACAGCATATCCTTTTATGTTTTTGCTGTTACACAGCCTATCCATTTTGTTTGGCTGTTAAACACAGCATAGTCAGTTTTGTTTTCTGGCTGTTACACAACATATCTATTTTTATTTTTTGGCTGTTAAATACAGCACAATCAGAGTTGGTTTAACTATCCCTACTTAATCCTTTCTTTGTTCTTTCCATCCATCTATACATTTTATTTTAAGTTAATTATATTTATCCTTATCCGTTTTCATAACAATTTAACATTGAGACATGGTTCTTGCTTAAAATATACCTTTAAATATATTTATAAATTCCTTTTAATATTTTAAATTAACCATATTTATCTTTATCCTTTTTCATACCAATTTAACATTAACACGTAATTCTTGCTTCAAACATACCTTTAAATATGTTTATAAATTCCTTTTAACATTCTTAATTTCTGTAAAAACCTCCTTTTTATTACTACAATCCACCTGTACATTGTTTTATTTTTAATCACATTGTTTCAATCTTCTTTTTTCTTTTTCCAGTCATGTTTATCTTATTTCTTCATCTCTTCCCCTGCAAACATATATTTCCTTCCATTTCAAAGTTTTCAATTTTGTCCTCCATAAGTCATATTATATCTTTTTGTTATTTTTATTCTGGATATAATATATCAAATCTTCTCTTGGGCCTGCGCTTATTCTCTGTCACTGCATTTTCAGCCAGGAAGATAGATTTAACTTAGTCTCAGAATGATTTAACTTTGTGGCAAGAACTGACACAGACGCATTCCTAGCGTGATTCTTAGAAGTACACTTGTTTGGCTGATGCAAGCCTTTTCTACCACATCAAAGGGGTTATATGGCATTTAAATAAGCACTATTTATCCACAGCATAGATAACAGAGGCAGAAAACTAAAGCTATAGAATCCAGAAATCTTCCATTAGCACAATAAATATCACTAATGTGGAAGACTGACTCTAGAACCAGTACTTATTTATGTGTATTGACAGTATTGATGTGGCTTATACACCACAAATTGTGTAGGCATATGGAGTCAGATCAGCCACAACTGCCAGCCTTCTATAATCACTTAAAGGATACAGCAATCTTGCAAGTTCATACAAATACCAACAAAGATTTATATTTAATATTTAAATATTTTTGTTATGGCAAATATATTAACTGATATACAGTAGATCAAGTTAAATTAGTGAAAGGAGACAGTAAGTTAATACAGCAGGAAACTAAATGGCTCAATGTTAATGGCTGAATCCTAATGTATCTACAGAAAATTTTTTAAAAATGAGGACGCCTTTCTTTTTTAACCAAGTCCTCAAGTGTAGTGCCACACTGATCATGTCTGTTCATTACACTAAACCAGATTATCACTATATCAAAGGTTTTTCCATACCTTTCTCCAAAGATGTAGAATTTCAACGTAACAAAGAGTAAATTGTTAGTATGATATTCACCATTCAACCTGAGCAAGCAC